CTGTCAGCAATTTTTGAAAATTCTCATCCATTATTGCTTCAGATATTTCTTCTGTTCCTCTCTTTCTCAGTATCTATATGTCGCCCCTTTTGTAATTATCTCACAATTCTTTTGATATTCTGTTCTGTTTTTATCGTTGCTTTTCAGTTTGGTCAGTTTCTATTAACATATCTTCAAGCTCACTGATTCTTTTCTTGGCTATGTCCCAGACCACTAATGAGCTCATCAAAGGAATTCTTCATTTCTGTACAGTGTTTTTGATTTCTAGAATTTCCTGTTGATTCTTTCTTAGAATTTCCATCTCTCTGCTTACATTACACATCTCTTCTTGCATGTTGTCCACTTTTTCTATTAGATCTCTTAGCAAATTAATTATAGTTATTTTAAATTCTCCATGTGATAATTCAAAAAATCTGTGTTATATCTGAGTCTGGTTCTGATGTTTGCTTTGTCTCTTCAGACTGTGTTTTTTGCCTTTTAGCATGCCTTGTAATTGTTTGTTGAAAGCCAGATATGATATACTGGATTAAAAGTACTGTAGTTCTTTCACTTGTAAAAATCCCAAACCTGTTGCCATAGAGTCAATTCCAACTCATAGCAACCCTATATGACAGAGTAGAACTGTCTCATAGGGTTTCCAAGTCTGTAATCCTCTGTAAAACTCTGTTGATATTGATGCAGTGGTAAGGTGTGGAGGGAGGGGAAGTATTCTATAATCTGATAATTAGGTTTTAGTCTTTTAGTGGGTCTGTGCTCCTGGTTTGTGACCTTCACAAGTGCTTCTCAGCCTTAGGTGAAACAGGAAGGCTAGAAGAGGCTGAAGTTGGGTGTTTCTCTCCTCTCACATCCAAGGCTGGAGGAGGCAGTAGTTGAATATTCACCTCCCCCCACATGGAAGGCTAGAAGAGGGGTGAAGTTTGATAATTCTCTTCCCCCATGTGGAAGACTTGAAGGGGCTAGAGTTAGGTGTTTTCCCTCCTCCATCTGTTGGGCTCTGAGGCTCTGATAAAACCCGCATTGGTTAGGGTCTCGTTAAGTAGTTTCCCTTGAAGGCAGGCTATTGTTAAGGAGAACAGAACACTATTTTAAAATTGTTAGTACCCCCTACCTCACCAGAAATGCGAGAGGGTTTTTTTGTGAGCTTCACAGTGAAAATTTGGTGGGATTCCTGGAGGTAAAACTCATGGAAGTGTGGAGGTCACCCTAAGGCTTAGCCTCCAGGAATTTTTAGTCTGTCAAGCTTGTCTACATTCAGTCTCTGGCAATTAGAATTAGTCAATTACCCTCTAAATACTCCTACCCATGTTGTGTCCAGCAGCAGCAACAGTGGTTTTTGCTCCTGGTAAGCAGTGATTCTCTGTAGCAGCTTATTTGTCTCTCTGATTTACAGGATGGCAGTTTGCCCTGTGACTTGAATTCTCTAATGGGTCTAAGAAGAATTGTTGATTTTCAGTTTTTCAACATTTTTCTTGTGAAGGTAGAAAGGATGATTTCCAATCTCTTTACATACTGGACCAGAAACCAGAATACTCCAGTTTAATGCATTTTTAAGTTTCACATGAGCTTTCCTCTGACCCATACAGATTATTAGAAGTGTGTTGTTTACAAGTGTTTGGAGATTTTTCTGTTTACTTTTTGCTATTGATTCTAGTTTGATTCCATTGAGGTATGCAAATACAGACAGTATGGTTTCAGTTCTTTTACTTTTTTTAGATTTTATTTATGGCTCAAGATGTGGTTTATCTTGGTATATGTGGTAGACACTTAAAAAGCATTTAACTCTTCTTATGCAGAGTGTTCCGAAAGTATTGATTAGATCCTGTTGGTGTTTAGTTATTTTATATCTTTGCTGACTTTCTGTCTAATTATTCTATCAGTTGTTAATACAGGAGTGTTGAAGTCTACAACTATAATTGTGGATTTGTCTGTTTCTCCTTTAGTTTCAATCAGTTTTATTTTACATATTTTGCAGCTCTTTCGTTTGGTACATACACCTTTTAGATTGCTGTTTCTTCTTGGTGAATTGACCCTTTTATCATTCTAGAATGTCACTCTGTCTCTGGTAGTTGTTTTGTTGTTGTTCTGACAACTACTTTATCTGATATTAATATAGCCACTCTTGCTTTCCTTTAGTATTTGTATGATATATCTTTTTTCTACCCTTTCACTTTTAACATGCCTATTCTGTTGTATTTAAAGTGAGTTTCTTGTAGAGTGTATGTTGGGTCATGTTCTTTTTTATCCATTCTGCTAATCTCTGTATTTCAAGTGTTTTATGTAGACCATTTACATTTAAGTAATTAATTATATGTTAGGACCAAGTCTGTCATTTTATTTTTTTTTTGCTGTTTTTCATTTCTCTGGCTTTTTCCCCTTGAACATCTTTTAGAATTATATTTTGATTTATTTATAGTGGTTTTCAGTGTATCTGTTTGTATAGCTTTTTAGTGGTTTCTCTAGGTATTAGATTAAATATGCATAATTAATCACAGTGTACTGATGCCATCATTTACCAGTTCAAGAGACATATAGAAACCATATCCACTTTACATTCTTTTACCTTCCCTATTTGATAATAAAATTATGTTAAACGTTTCCTCTTTGTACATTTAGCGTTATAGCTTAGCTTTTGTCATCTAACATAATTTAATAATAAGAGATCAAAAGCCTTATTGTGTTTATCCATATTTCTGCTTTCTTCCCTTTTGATGTTTCAAGGTTCTTTCTTTTTTATCATTTCCTTTTGGTTTAGAGAACTTACTTTAGCCATTCTTTTAGGCTAGATCTGCTAGTGACAAATTCTCCTAGTTTTCCTTCATTTGAGAATGTCTTGATTTCCCCTTTATTCCTAAAGTATAGATTTACTAGGCATATAATTGTGGGTTGACAGTTCTTTTCTTTGCAGGCTTGAAAAATACTGTGTTACTTCCTTCTGTCCTTTATAGCTACTGATGAGAAATCCACTGTCATTCTAATTGTTTTCCCCCTTTAGATATTTTTACTGACTACCTTAAAGAATTTTTCCTGTTCCTTTTAAATTTTTTTCTGTTTCTTTCTCTTTATTTTTTTGATGTTTTATTATGGTATGCCTTGGCATGGATATTTGATTTTTCCTGTTTGAGTTTTGCTCAGTTTATATTTTTTGTTAGGAAGTTTTCTGCCATTATTTCTTCAAGTATTTTTCAGCTCCACCCTCTTTCTTTTCTCCTTCAAGGACACTAATGACATGAATGTTAGATCTTTTGTATAGTCGTATAGGTCCCTGCAGCTCTGTTTTGTTATTTTTTTCAGTGTATTTTCTGTATTGTTCAGATTAGGTAGGTAGTTTTTATTTTTCTGTCTGTACTTCACTGATTCTTTTCTCTGTCCCCACCAGTCTGCCCTTGAGCACATCCACTGAACTTTCATTTCAGCTGTTGCATTTTTCAGTTCTAGAATTTCCATTTGGTTCTTCTTTATATCTTCTGTTTCTTTTGAGACTTTCTATTTCTCTGCTGAAGCTTTCTGTAGTTTTCATTTGTTTCAAGTGTGTTCGTAATTGCTTGTTGAAGGTTGTTTTGTTTTATTTGGTTTAAAATCTTGTCAGATAACTGTAACATTTCTGTCATCTTGGTGTCAACATCTATTGTCTTTTTTTCATTCAGTTTGAACTTCCTGGTTCTTGTGATATATGACTGAAACATTGACATTTTGAGTATTATATTTGGAGACAAGATCTTATTTTAACTTTCTGCAGCAAGTTTTTTTGACACTGCTCCAGCATGGGAAATGGGGTACCACCTCATTACTTCCAAGGATAGAAGTCCACTTGGCCTTTATTGATACCCAAGATGAGGTTCCTTATTACTGCTGGGCCTGGGTGGGATGTCTGACTTCCCAGGATTGCCTCATTACTTCTTCCCAGGTGGCCTCCACTTACACCTTGGGGGTGTCATGTGGTTTCTTTACTGCTGGGTGTGGGTGAAAGTCCTGACTCTCCAGTGCTACTCTAACACCATACCAGTGGGAAGAGGAGATTCACCTCAGTACTGGTATGTGGGAATAGAAGTCCAGTCTCTCCATGCTGGTTCCATTGACACTGCGAGGTGATGGGGGACTTGTTACCACCTGCTGGGATGATTTTATTCTTTTATACCACTGCAACCAAGAAGGCTAGGGGTTAGGGAGGGTGCTTTGTCATATAGCCTCATGAGAATAGAAGTTTATATGCCCCACATGGTCTTTGCTTGAGTAGGTGCGAGTAGAGTCATGCATTTTTCTGAGTGGGTATTGTCTAAAAATTTTCTGTCTTGTTAGACTTCCCCTTTCCTGGTCCTTTGGATATAGAGAGTAGGCTTTTGTTGGGGCTTGTTGTTGTATTTTTAATGAAATTTGAGATATTCCCATTTTTCCAGTACAGTTGTGTGTGGAATTTGAGAGGGCAGAGGAGTAGGATGTGGAGAGAAGTAGTACACATTTATGACAAGGAGAGGTATACAGCAACAAATGGGAAGTATGGTAATCAGCCATTCTGTAAGCATAAAATAATGCCTATTGTATTAGAACCTAGACAAAGAGCATTTGAGTGGTTTAGTAATCCATGCTGCATAGCAAGTGTATGACATGTAGGATCTTTTTAAAGATTCAGAATTGACATCATAAAAGTTCTTTTACACTGATGTGAAGTAATGATGCCTGACCTGGTAATTACCGTGTGCATATCATAATCCTTCACCTGCCTGTAAAGTTCATCTTTTTTTTTCTCTCTTGATTTAGTGGATATAAATTATAATGGAATTAAAACTACTCCCATCAACAGTATGACCCTTAGTCTAGATCAAGGTTAGCCTAGATATATGTTTCCCAGATGATCGCTAACTATAAAAAAGAAAAATTAAAAGTGAAAGTCACTGAGAAGTCTTTTATACATTATTCTTTTTACTGAAGTTGTTATAAGTGTTAATAAAGAATTTTGTAGCCAGATACATCACAATAATAAAGTATTTCTGTTTCTCCTTTAGCTCCATTGGCTTAGCAAAAGCAGCCCTAGAAGCAGTCAATGGATTCAACCTCTTTGGCAATCAGGTAAACAACAACGACAACAACTTTGCTTGCGTTTATTGGATTTATGTGTCATTAATTTTGGCCATTCGTGAATGAAGGGATTATTAGAGGATGTCTGAAATTCCTGTAGCAGCCCATGCCTGAGCGATTTTTCCCTTGAAAATTATTTATCAGTTAAATTTCAGTTTTCTAACTACAAATTGTTGCTTAAATTTAAAAAACAAAAAACAAAAAAAACCTCTTTGTAAAGAATTCTTATTTTCTTTGCTCAATACATTCTTTCCTCAAGTTACTTGCTCTTTTCTTGAGGCTTTTACATTTTAAATATTCCTGGACTTGTACCATATATTTTCCATGTCAGTCTCATGTTGGTTTTTATTTAATGTTTATCTCATACAGATGGGAATTTGTGTAATGTGTGTAGCCAGAGAATTGAAGTTCTAATCCTAGCTTTACCCTCTGTTGACTAACTATAATCAGGTATCTAAAATCGTATTTTTTCTGGGAATAAAAGATTTGCCTTAAAATATTCTTACGATCTTTTAGCCAGTTTCTGCACCAAAAGAAACTAAACTAGTCACGTCACTGTAGAATTGAGTTGTTAATGGAAGGGAATAAAATGTAGGAATATAGGATACTCCTCTTGATCAAGAAGTAGAATAATTTTCTGTAGCAATTTCTGTAAAGATTTCTAAGATGGCAAAGCAATGCTGAATTTCCAAGTGATATTATAATTAATCCTAAAGAATTGAAATGCTTAGTCAGTAGGGATACATTTTAGGAAATTATGTGAACATGCAAGGAAGTAACATGATTTTTTTTTCTGCTATATAGTCAAGTCTTGGATTTAAGAAAACTTTCAAACACTACCATCTCTCTTCCCCTTCCTATGTATATACATATTCCCTTCTTGTCTCACCCCAACTTCTTCTGGAAGATAGGCTCTGGTTACATCCAGGACATGAAATAGAAACCACATCAAGAATGACCGCAGACGTGAAAGGGAAGAGGCGAGCAGCACCTTGGGTACCCAAGAGGTGACTCTGGGTCACCTACTTCCCCCACTGTTCTTCCTCTCTCAAGACCTCTGTCTAGAGAAGTGAAGAGACTAGAACTCTCAGGGATTTAGGAGTATGTGAACCTATCACAAATCAAGAGTATTAGTATGATGTCCCCCACCCCTAACCCTGCATACTCTCCATGTCTGATCCCTTGGCCATTGTGTCCACATTTCTCGCTCCCTGGAAGAGTCAGCATACTCATGGAAATCCCACATGTATCTTCAATTCTTTTCACCTCCCTTTCACCCGTTTCACTCTTGATACATTCAGTATACATCCATAGACATACATACATGCATGCCTACATGTATACACATCTTTAGATGTAGGAGGGTAATATGGCATAAAGGAGTGGTATTGTGCTAGGAGTTAGGAGACTTAGGCAGTATAGACTGCTGTACTACCACCAGTGAGCTCTGTGACTTCGGCTGTCTAAGTCTCGGCTTCCTCATCTGAAAAACAGAGAGATGATAATAGGACCTATCTCAGAAGGTTCTCATGGGAATAAAAGGATTAGTTAGTATCATACTTGGCAAAGAGTAAGCCCTCAATAAATGTCATCTCTTGTTACTAAATACGGATCATTCAAATGGGAAATGAAGAGATTGGACTAAATGACCTCTAGAGAGGATCTCAAAGAGACTGAGAGGAGTCACAGACGAAGCCAGAGGTGTTGCAGTATCAGCATGGAAAGATACTGGGCTCAATCCTGCCTTTCACGGCATATCAGATAGGGAGCTGGCTGGAGTGGAGTGTGTCTACTAATGGTCAGTTCTGTTTTGCAATTGTGCTGCCTCCTTTGAACTGCCTGAGTCTTAGTATATGTTGCTTACATATTTAGAACATACCCTCTTCACCCCATTTATACCTGTCCACAGGCATTCAGTGAAACTCACCTAATTCTCCCTCTCTTTCAGGGCTCTGCCCTAAGAACTGCTTTTCCCAGGAGGCTTTCAGAGCTCACTCAGCTGTAACTCTGAAAGCACTGAAATGCTTTACTATGAGTTCTGGTTCTGAGTTACATATGTACTGCTGGTATTGAACCTGAGCCAGAGTTTCTCAGCCTTGACTATACATTAAAATCAGTTGAGGAATTAAATTTTAAACACACACACGCACGCACGCACGCACACACGCACACGCACACACGCACACGCACGCCTGGGCTCTACCTACCCCTAGAGATTCTGATTTAATTGGTCTGGACAGAGGTCTTTGCATGAAGATTTTTCACAACCCTCCAGGATTATAATGTGCAGCCAAGGATGAAAACGACTGCTCTAAGTAGAGTTAATTCTTGATCTTGTTTTTTGTTGTTGTTGTTAGGTGCCATTGAATCGGTTCTGACTCATAGTGACCGTACAGGACAGAGTAGAACTGCCCCATAGGATTTCCAAGGAGCAACTGGTGGATTCAGACCACCGACCTTTTTGGTTAGCAGCCGTATCTCGCCATAGCTCTTAACCACTGCGCCATCAGGGCTTCTGATCTTGTTTAGGTCATGTCTGTTTCCAACAAACCTGTGCATCAAATGCTTGCTGAGTCGACTACCCCTTGATTAGTTTAGATAGAAATACAGACAATGAATGTCTTATTCGTTTAGCCACACAGACGTCCCATGTTGCAAGGAGAGCCTCTCCATCTTCCAGTTTTTTAGAATAGTATCAGAGAGTTTCCTAGTTTTACAAGTTCTCTTTCATCTTTGTTTCTGGAATGGAAAATTTCAGAAACCTAACTTTGAAAATGTAGAACTTTCCACCTCTCCAGCAGTTAAATTAAAAATGTGCCTGCTAAACAGTACCACATTTAAAGTGCATATGATCATTTTAGTGTTCAGTCATCTTCTCATCTCCCATGTACTGAAAAGAGCCGTGGTCTGATTAAAAGTCAGTGGCTGGGAGAAGAACTGACATAACAAAGAAATATTTCTTTCCAAACAAAAACCCAAAGAAAACTCCTGAAGACTAGAGGGAGTTCAAATCAGATGAATATTCTCAGTTATGTCTGAAAACTGTCAATATAGTGTTTTGGAAGACCTTATCATATATATGTCTTTAAATAAATTTAGAGCTTTTAAAAGTGCACCCTTTGTTGGTGGCAACGCAGAGAGTTACAGGTCTTTGGAGCTGGAGGGGCCCCTCTCTCAAAATTAATGGTCAGATAGTTGAGGTAGCTTTTCTCAGGTCACATAGCTAATGAAGGACAGAACTAGGAATTAAACCAAAGCTACTTGATAATGAATCTGGAAGATCAAATATTAGTGCAGCAAATCTCAGATCTTGGATATTTTGTACTTTTAGGAGTTGGGAGCTGTGCATTTTCTTTGAAAGCTCTTAAGCCATCTGCTGCTTAATAATTACTGAGCTTCTGAAGGAGGAACCCATTTCACAAATAGTGCGAAAGCCTTGCCTTTTGTCCTTTTTGTGCTTCAATGTATGAGATAAGGCAAATGTTAATTTTATTTTTATGAAAAATTGTTGGGTGGAATATGCTTGTAGCTTTGGTTATGATTATTTTGCTGTCCTACACATCCTTTCTTCTTTTTTTTTTAATAACCCAACTTTACTTATTATTCAGTAATAAAAATCATATAAATCTTCATTGTGAAACTATTTTCAAAGGTTATTTTTCTTTGGGACACTATCTAAAAAGAAAATGCAATAAAATGATCTAACTTATTTCATGATTTGTTTACAGTAAAGGCTAATTTGGGGCAGGGCCACATTTAGAAACATACCCATATAACCAACCCTTAGTATCAAGCATCATATATTTCCTCATGGTCTCAGATCTATTCTGTATAAATATAGTAACCAATGTATTTAGATTTTTTTTTCTTTTTATTCTTGTGCTTTAAGTGAAAGTTTAAAATTCAATTTAGTCTCTTATACAAAAATTTATACATACATTGTTTTGTGACCCTACTTGCTCTCCTTATACTGTGACAGCACACTCTTCCTTTCCACCCTGGATTTCCTGTATCCATTCAACCAGCTCCTGACTTCTCTGCCTTCTCATCTCACCTCCAGACGAGAGCTGCTCGTTTAATCTCATGTATCTACTGGAGCTAAGAAGCACACTCTTCATGCATATCATTTTATATCCCATAGTCCAGTCTTTGTCTGAAGAGTTGGCCTTGGGAATGGTTTTAGTTTTGGGCTAACAGAGAGCTCGGAGGCCACATCTTCCAGGGTCCCTCCAGTCTCAATCAAACTATTAAGTCGGGTCTTTTTACTAGAATTTGAGCTCTGTACCCCACTTTTCTCTTGCTCTGTCCGGGACTTTCTGTTTTGTTCCCTGTCAGGATGGTCATTGTGGTAGCCAGGCACCATCTAGCTCTTCTGGTCTCAGGCTGATGAAGTCTCTGGTTTACGTGGCCCTTTCTGTCTCTTGGGCTAATACTTTCCTTGTGTCCATGGTGTTCTTCATTCTCCTTTACTCCAGGTGGGTTGGGAACAATTGATGCATCTTAGATGGCCACTCGCTAGCTTTTAAGACCACAGACACCACTCACCAAAGTGGGATGCAGAACATTTTCTTAATAAACTTTGTTATACCAATTGACCTAGATGTCCTATATTTAGATATTTTAATAATATTATGTAAATAATATCTGATAACATTTAAATAGTAATATTTAAAGAAATGATAGTTGACACTTAGCAAATGTCATAGACATGGTTAAATAACAGTTTTGTGATCTCCGAGTTTAAGTCTCAGCTCTGCTTTTCTGAGACCCTGAGAATTAACACTCAGTTCCCCTGTCTCTGTAGTTTGAAAACTCCTTTAACTGTACATAAGCAGGATATTCTGTAAAGAAGAGAGTCTTGGCTTGTGAGTACAGCTGCTAGAAGCTACTTCTGGCTCAGTAGGTAAGAATTGGCTGTTTGTACACCCACTGCCACCACAGCCATGCATGGTGCAGAGCGGGAATCCCATCAATGGATATTCTTTCTGGAAGAATACCGCTCTCCAGGCTCTGCCACAGTTAAGGGACAGGGCAGCCTAATGCTGAACTAGGGAAGAAAATCTAATTGTAGCTTTGTGGAGTGGTTTTACTTCCAGAAGAAGAATAGGAAAGACTGTGTACAGTAGATACACTGATCAGTCTCTAAGGGCAGCAAGTCCATTGGCTTAGACTCAGGAAAGTGGTTAATGGGGAAAAGAAAGATTCAGACAATCTTACATATCATTTCACTGTGAACTGAGTTAAATGAGATCAGTAATGTCTTATGATGGCAAAGCCACCCTCAGCCTCAAAGACCATCTCAGAAGTGCTTGTCGTGGGCACGGGCGCTTGAGGGGATGTGGAGCGTCCAGTGCAGCCCTTCCCTACCTTTGGAGCTCCAGGCCCCATGACAGTGGGCAGGTAGAATCATCTTATAGTCCATGTAATAGAACAGAAACTGAGTGTGGGGCAAAGTTGGAGCTGTCAGTCTTAAAACAGCTCTTTAGACGGAATCAGGGTATTGTGGCAGAGCTGTGATGATTTTAGGAAATGAAAGATGAAAATCAAATATCCAAGGTTAACAAGATACTCTGTAGTGATGTATACATATAAAACATCCTTTCATATTCCTGTCTTTAATTGGGGAAATCAAATTACTGACAAATGAGCTGAGACCAGACTCTGAAAGGCGATGACTAGAGAGACTGCTCATGGTACGCAGTGCTGAAAGCAGTGCTGCCCATATCTGGCTTCCTTTGAAATCCGCAGGCCTGGAATTAACGTGTCTGATGATTTAAAGTAGGTGATAATTAATTTCATGTGTGGGTTCTCCTAGATGACATTTTAAAAAACTCACTTCTGAATGAGGGATATCTGCTCATGTTTTTGGGTGAATTTTATCCTCCTGGACGTCTGTCTGGGCCACAGTGCCTGAAGTATGGTATATTTTTGAAAGAGAACAGCCAGACAATATAGTTAACTAGCCTTTGATCTCAGTGTTAAAATCTGGTAACACTGTGAGATTTTCTTCCCCCTTTGGGCGTGTTTCTTAGAGACTGCCAGCTGAAAACTGAGACTTTGAAAAATTTAGATAAATAAGCTGTTTATTTATGGCCAGAAAATAGAAATTGACTGTTTACATTAATCAGATAATGCAGACAATTGCCAAATTTGCTATTTCACTTCATTATTTATAAATTATCCTTTTTAGACTGTATCTTTCAAAAATCCAATTGAAGGCAGGTAAATTTGGCATGTGATTAACTTTATTAATCATCAGCATGAGGATAATTACAGCTCCCATCATTCTGTGTATTCACAGGCTCCCAGCCCATTACGCTCTTCCCCTTCTCCGCTGTTTTGTCCTAACCACCCTGCTTACTCCTGTCTTCCTGAACGCTCCCGGTTTGTTCAGCTCTCACTTCTCCACTGCCAGCCTCTAAGAAACTGTCCAAATAGACCCCAACCCTGGTCCTCCCCTTCTCTGTGCAATGCCCAGCCTCCCTGTTGTTTCCTTTGTTAGCGCTGGAGGATTGTTACCATTTTATTCTCCTATCTAAGCCATTTATTGGCACTTAATCATGTCCTGCCACGTGCAGTCTTTTTTTTTTTTTTTTTAATAGTTATGTTGTTCAGGACTGTATATCACTTGGGTCAGCTACTTGAGAACAGAGGTCAAGTTCAGTTTCGTTTGACTTCCTCAAAACAAAGAGCACAGTACTCTGCCAGTGGTATCTGCTGCATAAAGCTTTATTGAATAGGTAGGGATGGGAAGTCGGCACTCTCAGATAATGGGAAAGATGGCTAGCATTTGTCTGCTTGTAGAGAAACAGGCCCACTGATTCCCTGTTCATTTTAATTCACTTGGCAGAGTTAGGAAAGGTAAAAATGGCGTTCTGAATGAGAAATCATACTATTTTTGTGAGCTAATGTTCAAGTATAAGCATAGTTTAACAGGAAAAATATTTCTTGTGATCTGATATTTGAGTGTAGTACCTACTATGACTAGATTTTGAGTTGCCGTCTGGGGATGGATCGATTTGAGATATTTTAGTTTCAGGGTGAATGCATCTTTGAAGTAGTGGAACTGGGGTGATATTTAGAAGGTAATATTGAAGCAACGTGAAATTGGTGATAATTCACTTCTCCTTTCCCGTGTATTTTTGAGTATTGTGACGGAAGACGTCTTTGTATTTCCGTTTGATTCTCTGTTTTCCAAGTATTTAGCTCCCCAGCCAAAGAACAAAGCCATGTTTACTTACAACTTTGCTGTTGAATATAGAATGTTCTCTAATGGCTGAAAGGTAAAAAAATTTAACTTCATTAGCAGACCAGCTGACATTTTCTGTTACGCCTGTCTTTTTATTCAAGTTTTTTTATTCCAACTTGAAAGATATGTTTTTTAGTGTGGAAGGAAGATTGCATAACCCAGTGGTTAAAGCATGGCTTCTGTGTCAGAGACTTGACTTTGAACTTTTGTGGTGTTAAACTAAGGCTTATTGTCCTTTTTGGTAAGACAGGGATAATAGTGTCTACATAACTGGATTAAATGAAATAATCTATGTGTGCTGAGACATAGTGAACACCAGCTACTATTATTTGCATTATTATTTGAGATTCTCCTGTTTTCATATTTTAAGGCTTTCGTTACATTCATATTTAATCTTATAATCAATGTTCTTTATTAGAAATGTGCAATTCATATTAGTTCTTCATCTCTTGTCAAAAATTTTAGCTAGACCACAGTGTTTGTATTTTCATTACAATAAATATTATTAATTGTATATATTTTTTGATTTATAAAAAACAAGGTAACAATTTAAAAACAACATTTAATTTTTATTATTCTAACATCAACCTGTTCATTGAAGGAGAGTTACAAAATTCTGAAAGTGTAAATACAAAGAACATTAATATCTTGTGTAGCCCCCCGCCGCCCCGATACAACCAAGATTAGGTTTTTGTGAAATGTCTTACAGTCAAAATGCCAGACATTCTGTGTATGCTTTTTAATCAATTTAGGCAATGTTTCTCTCGTTCTCATCCAGGGCTGTTCTTGGTCAGTTATATTTGTGGATCTCGATGCTCACAATCGCAACAGGCAGACTTTGTGCTCGCTGTTACCCAGAGAGTCAAGATCTCACGTGAGACATTTGTATATTAATAAATTAATATGACTGTCATTTATGATTTTTATGTAGTTTTGTTTTCGTTTCCAAGAAAGTGCTCTACAATGGCAAAGTTGTCCATGAGAGATAGTAGGTATTGTTCCTCACTCCCTTGCCCTGACTTCTTGGCCTAAGGAGATCTTACTGGGGAAGTGAGCAGAGTCTTTTGTAGGAAATGAAAAATAGACGTATTCTTTTTTGGGGGAGGTGGGAGGAGGGGTGTAGCAACATATTATACCAAAGTGAATCTTTTTTGTCATGGAAAATTAGAAAAATATTTTTTCATGATTTATATTTCTTTTGAGTAAAATTCCCATTCTTGTTTCTTTTCTGTCATTCAATTAACTTTTTCTTTGTCTGACAAACTTGACTATTTACCCATTATTGTACCACTCAGATATAATCTTAGGGTGACAACATTTGGGTATATATGTTTGCACATATTTTATGCACATATATAATATTTTTATAAACTGGAACCACATTGTTTACAATGTTTGGTAACCTAGTTCTGTTGATGAGCAAATATCATGGACATGTTCACATATCAATAAGCATATTTCTACAATATAAGTTTTAATGGCTGCTCATTTATTCAACTGACTTTTGGAAATTTAGATTGTTTTCTGTTTTTCACAGTATAAACAAAGAGTAAATTATTATAACAAACTAAATTATGATGCCTAATTATTGGTGTTCAATTTTTACACACTGCCTTAATTAATACTTAAAAATTTGAGTCCAGCATTGAATCTTGAAAACACTCTTTATTAATGAATAAAGTTTTATCTGCTCTGTAAGGTTCACTAAAGCTGCCATAGAAACATGTATATGTGTCTTGCAGCAAAGCTTTCGCGCTGTTAAATCACTTCATTGACTTTTCATCTCCGTGATTCTCCTGGCATGTGTTGATCATGTCCCTGCTGACATTTACGCTCTGCTCTTTCTCTCATTGCCCCAGAACACAGATGCTGCCCTGCTCCCCTGCATCAGCTATCCTGCATTTGCCCTGGATGATGAAGTTCTGTTTGGCCAGACACTTGATAAGGTGGTTAGAAAATTAAAAGGGAAATACGGATTTAAGCGTTTCTTGAGAGACGGGTATAGAACATCATTGGAAGATCCCAACAGACGCTACTACAGACCAGCTGAAATTAAGGTATCGGCCCCCCACCCCCACCGCTACACACAGACACACACGCACACACGCACGCATATGCACACACACACAGACGCACATACACAGACACACACAGACACACGCACACACACACGCACGCATATGCACAGACGCACACACACAGACACACACACACAGACGCACACACACACACAGACACACACACACACACACACACACACACACACTAGCAGCATAGCACAGATTCAGGAGGCAGATTTCTTGGGTTTGAATTCTGACTCTGCCACTTACTAGCTGCGAGGCCATTGGCAAGTTAGTTAACCTCTCTTTGTTTAATATGGAGCCCTGGTGGCACAGTGGTTAAGCGTTGAGCTGCTAACGAAAAGGTCGGCAGTTCAGATCCACCAGCTGCTCCTTGGAAACCCTGTGGGTCTGTTCTTTTCTGTCCCATAGGGTCGCTGGGAGACAGAATCGACTCGATGGCAGTGGGTTTGGGTTTTTTGGTGTTTAATATACTTTATTAGTAAAATAATAATAGTACCAACCTCCTGAGAATCTTCTGAGAATTAAATGAGTTAATATATATGAAAGCACTTAGAGTAGGGCTTGGCACATGGTAAATTCTCAGTAAGTGTTACTTCTGATTATCATCAGTGAGACCCACTTGCTTGTACTGGCCATGTTCGTTCAGTGGGTGAATCACTTTTCATTGTGTTTTCAGCTCTTGGCCTGCTTGCTCCATACTGTTTCTCTCCTGTAATAGCAAAGTTCTGTTTGTGGTCCAGCTTTCAATCTACGAGGCCAATCTCTTACTGAAGCTGCTAGTCCTTCCCTTCCTTCTTTTTTTTGTTCCATTTAGATGTTTCCCTTTGAAATATAGCCCTCTAAAAATGTTTCATTTTAAAATATTTTACTATTTCACATGTACACGCCTACCCCACTGTATCCAGGTTTATACTAGCTGTTCTTAAGCCTTCCAGAAAACTATAACTCCCACCCCCATACCCCCCCACCCACCTAAAAAAGTAAGCATTCAAGCACATTGCTAAAGAATTTGCTTTAGTGGGATAGATTGAGAATTATTTTTGTAAGTGTGCTCATAACTTTAACTCAGTGAAGACACTAAGTTCCTTTTCTCCGTGAATCTTCTACAGAAAATGTTTAGGCAACACTCGTACCTTGTAATATGTTTGACAATTAACATACCATTCCTTTAAAATTTCATATAAACTTTTACAGGACAACCAGATAAGCTGTGTATCATTTCACTTAATTTCGCAGTTGACTACTATTTGGGAGTGTTGGGAGCCATTTTATTGTGTCCATTTTTGAGATTTTACAGCAATCTGTTATATTGAGCCAAAAGATCCATTCATTTCTTAAACATCTTTAGATGTTTCTTTTCAATTGAGTACGTTTCTTGCAATGATTTCTAGCCCTTACGTCTGAATTAGACTTCCTGCATACTTTCAGTTTTGGGTTAGTCCAGCAGACCTTCTGCACCTGTTGCCGAGCACCGCCAAGGAAAGCCACACACAATATGAGTAGGTGCCACCGTAGATTCAGGGCATCCATCTTGGTTCAGTCCTCATCCCACCTGCACTGCTTGTCAGTCCTGTGTGACCCTGCCAGGAGCGCCTTTTGAAAGCTTTCCTAGCTTTTTTTCTCTACTACTCAAGTTCCCAGACCTTACTTCTCATTTCCTTCTTGATAGCCTTTCATTTCTTTATGGTGTGCCCACTGCATCTATCCTCATCCTTAGTGACCTCCATCTCTCTTATCTCGTGGAAGGTGCTATCTGTTCTTCATTCTAAGGCTAACCCTCCATCTGTTCTTTACATTCTGTTCTGTCTTACTTGCTTGGGGCTCTCATGTATCATTTGTTTTCTTGTCTAATAGAACGATGTCCTCTATACATCTTTTTTCCTCCACTTTTCCACACCGCGTTCCCTCTGTTTTGCTCCCCCAACTCAAATGAACTTATTCTCTTCAGCATAAACATTTTGATATTCATCCTTAAATAAACAAACACAAACTCTCCCTCAACCTTCAACCCTGTCTTCCTCCAATCCTCTGTCTCTCTGTAGCCACACTTCTGAAGAGAATGGTCTGTGCTTGCTTTCTCTCCTTGTTTACCTTTCACTCACTCTGTCCGCTTATAGTTTGGCTCCTTTTCCTAGCACTCCCCAGGAGGTGTGCTGGCTTCAGTCGGTTGAGGTCACTGAGTCGTCGTGGACGCTTTCCTGACTTACTCACTGAACCTCTTTTTGCCATTTGAGTGTCTTCACTGCTTCTTGTTTCTTGGAGTGTATCCTCCTCCGTTTGTTGTGACCCCTTTCGCTTCCTACTTCTCTGATTACTTATTTCACTCTCCATCTTAGTCTCTGCAAGAGACTAAGCCCCAAACCTGAGAGTCATTCTGGGCTTTTCCTTCTCACTCATCCCTTTGTCAATCGCCAAGTCTGGCAGATATAACCTCCTTAAAATCTTAGAAATCTGTCCCTTCCTTTTTGTCACTCCATGGTTTAGGCCAGTTGTTCATAACCAGTAATGATTTTGTCCCCCAGGGGACATTTGGCAGTGTCTGGAGACATTTTGATTGTCACAGCTTGATGGACACTACTGGCGTCTAGAGGGTAGAAGCGAAGGATGTTGCTGAGCATCCTGCAGTGCACGGGACAGCCTCCCACAGCAAAGAATTATGTGGCCCAAAATGTGAATAGTGCAGAAGTTGAGAACGGCTGTGTAGGATATTATTATTTGTCTTTGGATTGCTCTAGGGGTCTTCCCTCTGGTCTTATGTCTCATCCTAAAACTCTCCACAATGCTGCAGCTGCTTAGTCCAGCAGGTTAATCTGGTGTATAAATCTCATCCTGCTCAGTATTCACCATTGGTTCCCTGTTACTTACAGATCAAAGCCTCGGTCTCTTAGCATGACTTTCAAGCTCTTCCTGATCTGGCTGGCCTGGCCCACCTGTGGGGCTTCAGCTTTCACTCCTATCTCCTTGTTTGTTCCAGAAATACTGGAACTTTAGTGTACTTTCTGCTTCCACGAATCTGTAGTTTGCACGTTTGTTTTCTCTGCTTGAAGTTCCCTCAGTTCATCTTCCCAGTGAAATCCATCAAGCTTTACCAAAGTATCTCCTTCCCTGTAAGTCCTTCCCTGGCTCTTTAGGGACACTCGGGTGTTTCATTCCCTACGTTCCTGCTGTACCATGTACAGCTATTTCTCAGTGTACTGCAGCTGTTTAGATACATGCCTGCCTCCCCATTGGGCTGTGAGACCATGAGGGAAGGTTCTCTCTTTTTGTCTTCATAGCCCTGTGTCTAGTTGGTGCCATTAGTAAGTACTCACACGTTTATTAAATAAATGACTATTGTTTGATGAATTGAATGAAGGAACTTTTGAATAGTAAGTCTTAAATTTAAAAAAGAACAATGAAACTGCTTATAAAATCAGTCCAGTTTTAAGTTATTACTATAAATAAATATTTTATGTATATCCTAACTAAAGTTATTCTACTTGTTAGTGAAAATTTTTAATTTTAATGCTGGTTTTATTTTCTCTTTTAGCTATTTGATGGCATTGAATGTGAATTTCCCATATTTTTCCTTTACATGATGATTGATGGTAAGTGAGCTTTTCTTCTGAAATTTAAGCTGTAGGATATAAGTGGTTTAAAAAGAAGCAGAAATGAAATATGACTCCTTTCAGCCAGCAAAATGAACTGAACTTCAGTAGTGTTAACTGCTCTGTATTTTCGTCTTCTGCTTTCTGAGTGGATGTTAAATAATTTAAAGAATTAAAAATATGCTTTGAAGCATTTTTAAAATGATAGTAATATATTATTGATATTTATAAAGCAGATTTTTTTATTAATAGAAATCATGTGTACAGTAATCTGTGACATTGTGAATATCCATAATTTACAGTTAAGAATAGCAAACTTTCAAATAATTAAAATTCAGTTTTCAATCCTAAGTTCTAGTATGACCTTCAAAAATCAATTTTTTAATATACTTACTTGCATTCCTTTTTTTTCAGTTTTAATGTGATCATTTACATAGAAAATTACTAAAATAATCACAACTGGGCTAATAGATTTTTCTAAGGCAAAATTTCTATGATGCTTATTGAGTTCAACTACTGTTGGATTTTATATTTTAGGAGTTTTTAGAGGCAATCCCAAACAAGTAAAGGAATACCAGGATCTTCTGACTCCAGTACTTCATCACACCACAGACGGTATAGTTGGATTATCTTTTTAAGAAATTTTTTTCCCAATATTTCCTTAATGTTCCTTCAAAATATATAAATGATGCCTTTGTAAACCCTAGCAGTTTATATTAAATTGAAAAAAATGAATGGGGCCACAAATGAAATTAGAAAGAATAAGCTCTATTAATTTATAATAATAATGATAATGGCGTTTTTATAAAAAGAGTTCATTAGGCAGGACAAGGATGATGGTTATAGTAATTTCAGTGTAGTTTGCCAAGTGGCCAGAGGTTCTCTGTCAGTTACTTACTTCAGTCTATGCGATTTGACATAATGTAAAGTGACTGATTTTTATCCAGGTCACCAAATATGTTGTGCTCAGGTGAGTGCTGCCCTCTCCAGAGGGCCACCTTGAGAGGCTCTGCCCCGGTCTAAAGGTACTGCCATTGCTGAGAACATTCTGGCCTCCTCTTTGGAGTTGCTTCTAGGGCCCTTAGCATGTTATTTTGAATGTCTGCAGTGATGCTAAAATGTCATGGAGGATTGATTTTAGAAGTGGTCCAAAAGCCCAGTCTTATGAGTAAAGGTACATTTGTCTTGGTAAAAAATCAGCAGAAGTTTTAAAGAACTTAACCAGTTTTCAATAATACTGTCAAAGTTAATTCTCAAAGAAATTGCAAAGGAGAAGTTTCACATATCTTTAGAGTTGAAGGTAATAATGGAATAAGAATAGCATCTCATGAGTGAACATCTTTGAAAACGTATTTATCTGGAAGTTAAAAATTATGGTGGATTGGTGTCTTAGGCTGCATTCTCTAAAGGAACAAAGCCAATGAAGCTTGTTTGTGTGTGTGTGTGTGTGTATATATATAGAGAGAGATTTCTTTCAACAAAATGGCTCGCACAGTTGTGGAGCCTGACAAGTCCCAAATCTCTGGATCAGGTGTCAGGCTGGAGGCTTCTCTTTACTTACATGGTTGCAGGGGCTGACAAACCCAGAATCTGCAGGTCAGGTGGTAGGCTGCTTGCTTACATCCCAGGAACCGGAGGTCAGATGATGACGAGTCAGATGCAGGATTAAGAGAGATAGCTTGGCAGAACATACATATGTACTGGATGCAGGCGACATCCCCAAGGAAACTCCCTTTACATCAGACTACAAAATGGAGGATAATTACATAATACTGAGAGTCATGGTCTAGCCAAGTTCACAGATAACATTAACCATCCTAGTCCACCCCTTGTCAACTTGACATCTGTGCACAGCTCCTTAAACCATACATGATCTCTAAATAAAGACAATTATAAAGTCATACTTGGCCTAACATGAGACAGCTAACATGCGTTCAACCAAAAACGCACTAGCCCACTTTACATCTTATATTTTTAAGTAATGGGATGGGGGGGAAGAAAACAAAAATGTGTGCCTATATGTACATATATACATACAAGTATAGTAAAACAAGGAAGAAATACTTACAACAATTACAATCCTTGTTTCTACAACTGCTCACATGGCCATAACTGGTATTCAGAACTACCTTCTTCTACCACCCATTCTGTATTCACTCTGCCCTCAGCAAGCACCTCAACTGATTGTGGTTCTTTGCCTGGTAGGGCAACCCAAACCTTATTCCTGAAGGGTCTGAGGCTTTAGTAGTCTTGTTGGAATTGGGTTACTGTATTGTCGCATTTGGGTTGTTGTGGTTTTCCAATGACTATAATCACAAAGCATGGTAGTACTAAGAGATGCCCTAAGGGATCTCCTGCATTCCATACATACTCTTCTTTACCTCCATTATGTAATATCAATCCTATTCCCCCTTGGTAATCAGGATCAGTCACACCAGCTAATTTGGTAACGCCCTTCTTTGCCTGTTATCCAGCTGTGTGAGGAGCCCAAAGTGGCCAGGTGGCGTTGTTAACTTCCAGTTCATTGGAATCATTGTTGTGTCTCCAGGTGGGAGCTTTCCTCCCTTTGGAACTAAGACTTCTAGACCTGCATAGTATAGGGTTGTGGGGGCAGGAAGCAAAAATTTAGCGAATAGGTCACTAGGGGTAATAGAAATTGGTGCCACTTCCATTTCCAATTGTTGATTCCTGGACCTATGAATCCTGGCTATGGGAGAAACAGCACTATATGTTGGACACTGGTGTAGAGCATATACCGTCTTCTGGAGAACATTGCCTCAACCGTGCAAGGTACTGCAGCTGCCTAGTTGGTGCTGTAATTGTGTCTTTAGAAGCCCATTCCAATCATTCAAGCCATTTGCTTCAGGATGATGGGGACATGGTAAGACCAGTGAATTCCATGAGCATAGGCCCATTCCCACACTTCATTTGCTGTGAAGTGAGTATCTTGATCCAAGGCAATGCTGTGTAGAGTACCATGATGGTGGTTAAGGTATTCTGTAAGTCCACGGATGGTAGTTTTGGCAGACATATTGTGTGCAGGGAAGGCAAATCCACATCCAGAGTTAAGTGTCTATTCCAGTAAGAACAAAATGCTGCCCTTTCCATGATGGAAGCAGTCCATTGTAATCAGCCTGTCACAAGATTGCTGGCTGATCGCCCTGAGGAATGGTGCCATATCGGGGACTCAGTGTTGGTCTCAGCAGTAGCTGTAGCCAAGTCAGCCTTGGTGAGTGGAAGTCCACGTCGCTGAGCCCATGCATAACCTCTGTCCTTGCCCCATGGCCACTTTGTTCACGAGCCCATTGGGCAATGGTGGGAGTGGCTGAGGAAAGAGGATGACTGGTTTCCATAGTGAAGGTGTATTGCTGGCCTTGCCAGCTGAAGGCAGACTGCTTCTTACGGTTCTTTGAAGCAGTTTTGGAGAAAAAGGCATTAGCCCGATCAGTAGCTGCATACCAGGTATCAGGAAATGTATTACTTTGCTTAAGCAATGAGACCACATCTGGAACAGCAGCTGTAATTGGAGTCACCACCTGGTTAAGTTTATGATAATCTACTGCCATTCTCCAAGAGCCATCTGTTTTTTGCACAGGCCAAATAGGCGAGTTGAATGGGGATGTGTTGGAAATCACCACCCCTGCATCCTTCATTCTTTGATGGTGGCAGTAATCTCTGCAGTTCCTCCAGGAATATGGTATTAGTTTTGGCCTGCTATTTTCTTAGGAAGGGGCGGTTCTAATGGCTTCCACTTGGCTATTCCTACCATAATAGCCCTTACTCCATTTGACAGGGATCCAGTATAGGGGGTGCTGCCAGTTGGTGAGTATGTCTATTCCAATTAGGCATTCTGGAACTTGGGAAATCACTATAGGATGGGTTCAGGGACCCACTGGACCTACTGTGAGTTGGGCCTGAGCTGAGACTCATTAATAACCTGACCTCCATATGCCCCTACTCTGACTGGTAGACCACAGTGATATTTTGAGTCTCTTGGAATTAGTGTCAGTTCAGAGCCAGTGTCCAGTAATCCCCCAAAAGTCTGGTTATTTCCTTTTCCCCAGTAAACAGTCACTCTTGTAAAAGGCCACTGGTCCCTTTGGAGAAGGCTGGGAGAAAGATTAATAGTATAAATTTTTGGTAGTGTAGAGAGGTCCTTCCTCAAGGGGACTTGGCCTCCCCTTCATTGAAGGGGTTGTGGTTCTTTAAACTGGCTCAAATCTGGGAATTGACTGAGTTGCCATGACTCTCTATTCTGGCAATTCAAGTTGGACTGCCGTCACTTGACCTAGAATTCTTCTGCTTGTACAGGTCACATAAATATGTAGTTGGTTTCCCGTCAGTTTCACTCCTAGGGACACCATGACTAAGTGGCCAACACCAGAAGTCCATATGAGCCAGACTCTTCTGATTACTGCTTTGACTTTACTGTCCCTGATGGTAACCATGCCCACCTTGCCTTTGGGAATTAAGTGCTGCCACTTGGCCCTTACCACCACAGGGTCCAGTCAGCCCCATTGTAATTACCAACCAAAAAAACCAAACCCCTTGCCATCGAGTTGATTCCGACCCATAGTGACCCTGTAGGCCAGAGTAGAACTGCCCCATAGAATTTCCAAGGAGCACCTGGTGGATTCGAACTGCCAGCCTTTTAGTTAGTAGCCGTAGCTCTTAACCACTATACCACCAGGGTTTCTCCATTATAGTTAGGTGTCTTAATTCAGTTAGGGCAGCTCCCACTGTCAGATCTGACTTACATAAAATAGCAATCACAGCAGTCTTCAAGGATGCTGGGGCTCCCTCTACAAATTTGTGGTAGAAGATGTGTTCTCTGGCCACTGTGGGTCCACCTGATAAATCTACTCTAACATGCCAATTTCCCTAAGCCTTTGGGTACCTTCTTCTACAGTACACCAAGGCAGGTCTGGCATTTCAGCTTGATTTAGTGTAGGCCACCACGCAATCCATGCTTCAGTGACCCAAGCAGATAAACTATTAGATCCTTTCCTAACCTATGGAGCTGAAACATTGAATGAACAATCTGTGCTTAGTGGGCCCATAGCAACAAACTCAGACTAATCCAGGTTTATAGTCCTTGCACCGTTATCCCACACCCTTAATAGCCATTTGAACACATGTTCCCCAGCTTTATTCGTGTATATTAGAAAAATCAAGCAGTTCTTTTGGAATGTAGCATACCTGCTCCTGAGTCATGCTTTGTACTTCACCTCTTGGGGTTTTCTGGGACTTAAGTCTAGTTGTAGGTCTAGAAGCAAAAAAGTGTGGTAGGTTGGATCCTGGGGACATTCAGCAATGTCTAGTAAGGCATCTGCCTCAGGTGATGCCCTAGGCAATGCCCCAGGTACCGCCCCAAGTGATATGTCATACAAAGACTCTTCAGACATAGATGGGTTAATCTCATCAGATGGAGGTGGAAGTGATAATAGTTTTACTGAGGAGGGTGGCTTAGCAGACAAAGATGGAGTAATCTCTTCAGATGGGAGTAAGGGGGCTGATTCTGTTGGCAAGAGTGATTAAACGGAATTCAGGGGCTCAGTGTCCCCAACTTCCTGATTATCTGCCCATATGTCCCCATCCCAGGTTCCAGGATCTCATTTCTTCCCAATCATTGCCCTCACTTTAAATTCAAACACCATTCGATGTTGAGAATTCAGTAGGCATTGAATCAGCCATTCAATCATCAGCCACTCTTACGATAAGACTCTGGGTTTGATTTTTGGCAATATCAACTCTATTACTACAAGAAACACGGCTTTCTTTCAGAGCACCAGTGGCAACCTTCAGGTCTTGTATGCGGCACTTGAGTTGTGATTCTGAAGCTTTGAGCTTATCCCTTTCTTTCACCACTCTGTCTGATGAAAGTATGACCAGTGAGCCAGCCTCCTTATACATCCCATTCTGACAGAATTGTAGAAAAGTATCAAATATGTAATCACAAATATTTGATCCAGTGGTGGTTATATCTTGTGTGTTTCTATTGCCGCCTCACGCCATGCATTAGCAGTGCCGTCTTTACTACTGGGGGCAGAGTCATCAGACTAGCCTGACTTGAGAACCAATCCAGAAAACTCATCCGTACGATTTTGTTCCTCTGGAACCACTCTCAGTACCAAATATCTTAGGCTGAGTTCCCTACAGGAGCAAAACGAGTGAAGCCTATATATACAAATATATAGAGAAATTTATTTCAAGGAAATGGCTCACACAGTTGTGAGGCTAGCAAGTCCCAATTCTGTGGGTCAGCCATCAGGCTGGAGGCTTCTCCTAACTCACGTGGTTGGTTATAGGGGCTGACAGACCCAAAATCAGCAAGTCAGATGGCAGGCAGCTGGCTCACGGCTGCAGGAGCTGGTGAACCCCAAAATCTACATGTCAGGTGGCAGGCTGCTGGGTCACATCCCAGAAACTGGGGCTCAGATGATGACGAGTAGCATGCAGGTTCAAGAGAGAGCTTTGCCAGAACATCCGTCTATATTCGATGCAGGCCACACCCCCAAGGAAACTCCCCTTACATCAGATCACAAAATGGAGGATAATTACATAATACAGAGAATCATGGCCCAGCCAAGTTGACACATAACATTAACCATCACAGTTTGTGATACTCTTTGGGGTTTTCCACAAATATCTTTGAGTAAATACTTTATATCACATACCTTCCTTTTAAAATACTTTTGATTGTTAAAGTTACGCAGCATCTGTGGATAAATATTGAATTACAAATAAATAATAATTTTTAAAAGCATTTATTTATGTTATGTTTTATGCTCCACATAATCACTTGCATAACATAAGACATAATGTAACGAATGTCACATTTGAAACTCCTTGAATCAGATGTGTTAAAAGATTCAGTGGTACTTCACTGATGGAGCTGGATGGTAGTTAGTAAACCAAACTTTAGGCTTCATCATCCTCAGAGAGTGATGTTCATATGATTCTGTCTGTATCATAGACCTTTTTAGTGGTTTTAAGCATAGTTATCACTATTGATTGGTACAAGAAGAAGAAATTTACGTTTTAGAGAAACCTGTGGAATGTTATTAGGAAAATTAAGTTTAGTGGGCTGATACTACAAAAAGTCTCCTGTAGCACTCTACCAGAATGTTGATTTTTTTTCCCCTTTTATGCCATACAGAAAGATCTTACTCTTTAAATAATGTTTTTTAGTTTCCATCAAGGAATATTTTTAAATTGGTTGGTTGCAAGGAGCCCTGGTGCACAGTGGTTAAGTGGTTGGCTGCTAACAGATAGGTCGACAGTTTGAATCCACCAGCTGCTCTACGGCAGAGAGATGTGGCAGTCTGCTTCCATAAGGATTATAGCCTTGGAAGTCTTATGGGAAATTCTGTTCTGTCCTATAGGGTCTCTATGAGTCAGAATTGACTGGAAGGCAATGGGTTTAATGGGGAATTGGCCACAGGAGAAGATGGATTTTTCTTCCTCAGTGATATTGAGTGGTAGATAATGGGCTTATTGTCTAAATGGGATTTCTTTGCTCTAAGCGATGGCTCCGGGTTATAATTCCTCATTTACGATTACACAGTGTCTCATTTGTGAAGCTTCCACAGACTAATCCTATTAAAGTAACCTTTTTCTATGGCTCTAAATATTTGCGTACTGTATATTTGTCGATTCATTTAAAGGTTTTAAAATTAAATGTTGTTAAAGGAGATTATGTACACATTGTTGGCTAAAGCATAATGTGTGCTGTCAATGTTTTAATGTCAAGAAGCTTTTTTCCGTGTTTTTCGTTGGTAATTTCTAAAGGGAGCGAGAATATCCAATGATCTATATATAGCCTATCAGATCTGTTACTCCCTCTGCAACCTTTCTCTCTCCCTGCTTTCTAAACATGGAAATTTCTTGAAGTGAAAGTTTGGGGAGGGCACTGATTTGTTATATTTTAAATGTTTATTTTTAAACTCCACAGGCTATCCTGTCGTACCAAAGTACTATTATGTGCCGGCTGACTTTGTAGAACTTGAAAAAAGAAAGCCTGGTAGTCAAAAGCGATTTCCTAGCAACTGTGGCCGTGATGGAAAACTGTTTCTTTGGGGTCAGGCCCTTTATGTCATCGCAAAACTCCTGGGTAAGTGAAGAAGGGTGGGAACCTATTTTTTTTTTCTTTTCTTTTTTTTTTTTTAGTTTTTATCAAGCAGTTAGAAATAAGTATGTCTTTGCTAGCATGTTCTTGGATTTGGGTGGCGTTTCAAGCTGTTCAGAAGTCTTTGGGTAGTTTCTTAGTATGTAAAGGTATATTAATATGCCTATTTCACTGAACGATGGTGGACAGTTTCTGGGAAGAAAGTCAAACAAGTATAGGTGCCGTTTTGATTATTTAGGAGGCTGATTCAGCTTTGTAGATAGGTTTCTAACATAAGGCTGTAGGAACTTTGAGTTACTTTCATATGATGTAATAAAATTTTGATATAATGAAACAGTCGTGCTTGGTCAGAGCTTTAGTAAACCACTTGCCAAAAGGAATTGGTTATCTCAGAGTTCTCTTCTGCCCAATAAATACACATTGGCAATTTTCTCAGTTAGCTAGAGGCTTAGTGGGACCATTGTTCATAATTCTTTGAAGAATTATTTTGCAGCTTCTTCTACAACTTCAGCTCAATCAGAAAACCCTTTTGATGCATTGAAATGAAGGGTAGTTTGATGAATACAAAAAGCATTATGCATCTTTCTGCAGCATTCCTTGTTAAAATTTCAAATATTCTTTGCTTTCCCCTCAAAAGGGCTATCGTTTTAGAGTCTGAATTCCTTTGTGGCAAACAGATCATGAGGCAGGCGAGTTGTAAATACTGTCTCTGAACTAAGAGAACTGCTTGCTGTATGAAATGCTTGTCCTGCCTTTGTTGTTTCTAGCATTACTGCATAAACACTGGGCTTATTTGTGCTGGAAAAATAATCGTGTTTGGTTTTCTGTTTTTTACATTCTACTAGGAAAGTGTTTTTCAAAGGCGAGGTTTCCAGTTTGAGCATTGTGTAAATGATGTAAGATTGGCAGAAACTAAAGCATTAAAAATTAAGAACCTACAAATCGACCAGTGCCTGCCCCCATCCCATCTTCCTTTCCCAAGATCAGTCCCACTGATTGTGCTCTGTATTCCCTCTCATTCTGCCTTCTTACTAGCCATCCCCATAAACTGCTTCTTTGGACATGGGTCGATTTGGCCAAATGCTTTTTTCAGTCTGCCACTTTCCTGACTGTATTTCTGGGTCTCTATGTTTATTAAATGCTGATTTTAAGAACCTGTAGAAAAATGTTCTTTCTTTAAATGGACAGCTTTTTGGCAAGGAGTTAATATTACTTATACTGGTTTTGCTTTTAATTTTTCTATAGGAAGGGGGTGTACCCATGAAGCAGATTTTTTAGAATCGAGCCACGTTGGAAAGGTTACCTCTGGTTAGAGTATTGTTACATGAATACGAAGAAGCTTTGTTGATGTCCACAGCTAACTAACACATATTTTAGTAGGGGAAGAGTTAACCTATGTAACAGCAAGAATTTTAACATTAGAACTATAAGTTTCTATATACTTTACTTGGAAAATAAAAATAAGCATGGTGAAATGTGTTTTTGGTTCTGAAACAGAAATCTGGCCCTTAGGATCTGGGGTCTGCGCTGTAAGCCTTCTTCGTTCTCCTTTTTGTGGTACGTCCAAAGTGGGGCTGGCACAACTAGAAAGAGTGCTACTTGAGTGAAGCCTCTGGGTCCAATTGGCAAGGCCGGTGCAAAAGTGATTTCACCCTACATGAGCAAACTGAGCGTCTCAGAAAGAAAAAGGTGGCGATCAGTCTCAGTCAGTAAACAGCCTCAAACCTTCCTTACTCCAGAATAAATTAGCGGGTCTTGAATGACCTGCTAGAAGGTGAACAGAAATAGTCCAGATCGTGCCTGCGTGCCTGCCTCATGACGCGAGAGAAGAAGTGCTGCAGGGCTGCCTTAAAAGCGGTTAATGTCTCTTTTTCTGCTGAGCTTCTCCAAAGGCAGTAAAGAGCACGCAGAAGGTGCTTGAAAATTGTGAAGCCAGAAACTCATCTCCTGCTGAAAAAAGGTGCTGCATATTCCTTAGCACTCTGGCCTAGCTGTGTGTCATCTGGTTAACTGGGTGAGATGAGTAAGGTCTCAGAAGACTGAATCATCTAGTTGCCCCTAACTCTTATGTTACAAAGAACCATCAGACTTCTGTGAATTTTTAGTAAGATTCCAGACTCCACGTTTATTAACAAAGTCCTGCTTGCTCGTTAAAGGAGCCTTAGTTGCATATCTACTTGACAACATTTTCTGAGCAGTTAATTGAAATAATTGTTTTTACATGAAAATAATAGAATAGTGAATCTTTAAAAATATTCTGTAATATATGACTTTTACTACCTCAGGTCAGTTTGTATCCCAGTGAAATCTAGTAAAGATAGTTTTGCTGTCTGTATGCCCTGGCGAATAATTACACAACAGAACTCTGTGACTTCTGTTCCATTGTTAGCAGAAGAAGATGCAGTATGCTGTTTTGTGGCCAAAGCCCGAACCCCCCAATGTGTTCTTAGGAAATAACTAATTATTTACAGTATTTCCTTTTTCTTTCTTTAGAAATATACTTTTAGGAATCAATGTTTGCTGTAAAATAGGTAAATGTATTATAAACATGTTTGTTTTAAACCAGATAAGCACATCTTAAGATGTATTTGACTCATCTTAGAATAAAATGGTCATTAGTTATACTTTCAAGTATTTAAATTTGAGAATTTAGAAACTGCTCATAAAAGAAATAGTCTATAGAGTGCAGTATACCTTTCTGAGCAATTTGCAAAGATAAATAACCTGAAGTATTTATCATATAAAAACTCACTTGAAAATCATGATCTTTGGTTTAAAAAGTTCTTTTGAAGTTCGGAAAGCTAGAGAAACAGGTTACATAAGATTAATGATAGCTTGATGCTGAAACTTCCCCCGGGCCGTTACTTAACTCTAGTGTCTTTTCTAATCTATATTTTAAAAAAGAGAAACTAACGTATCAGTTATCTAGCTTAAAAAACAATCTGAATTCTAGACTTGAGCTTGTCCTTTCAGTATATATACAAATAACTTTCCTTACGCTGTACATCCAACATTCACAGTAATGACCTCATTCCAGTATTGTAACACCCTCAATTATTAAAGATTAGAGCTTTACGTACTGTATAACTTAAGGCAGGTACATAGAAGAATCTTTTTAGGTTCAATATTTTGAAAGCATTATTAATAAACATCAAGGGTTAAGACATGTTCTTTGATTAAGCTTGAATTACTGAGCAATTTTAATGAACTACAGCTTTCTAATACACACAAACTCCCAGCATATTCAGGTGAATAAAAATTTTATTAAATTTTCATGAGGGAATTTTTTTTCTTTGGAGATAACTATTAATTTCCTTGGAGAGTTGATAGACTTTAAAAGTGATCAGATAGATGTAGAAGTACTTCGACACACCCAAAGTGTGAAAGCCACAACTTAAGTCATTGGTTTCCTAAAGTTCTTTGCTTAAGAGCTTTATTGGAATATATTTTCCTACAGAAACTGTATTTTAAATGATTATTAACACCCAGCAGACTTGTAAACATGTGATATAGATTCTTTCTTTGATACTATCATCCTTTTCCTCCACTTCCTGCTGCGATAGTTCCTCTTCCTTGTTTACCTCTTCCTTGTTTCCTATATTCTTCATGATTTTCTGTTCTGTAGTGGAAAGATCAAGGATTTGAGGGTCGTGAGTTTGGGAACTGAACAGCTGAGGATTTGAATACAAGTTCTACCACTTAATACCTTTGGGAATTGAAGAATTTTCTTACCTTACATGAACATCAGTTTCTTTATTTTTATGTTACAGGAATTAACTAGTGATGAAATACGTATAAAGCATTTACTGTGGGACATGGTACATACTTAATGGTACTTCTACTTCCTGTCCTTCTTTCTTCCCTCACTCACTCTGTCAAGGCATCATTTAGGAGGTAGTGTATATGAAAATATGCTCCATAGCTCTTGTCAACCAGGCAGTTTAGGATGTTCATGAGTCCTCTTGCAGGTACCACCAAAGCCACAAAACTCACCACAAGAAGAAAATGTTTCCCCAGTTACTACTTAACCATTCAGCTACTCATTGATTCAGCAGCTGTTTGTACAACACCTACTCTTTCGTGTTGTTAGTTGTTGGGTCGACTCTGACTCATGATGACCTTATGTGTAACAGAACAAAACATTGCCCAGTCGTGCACCGTTTTCATGATCGTTGGTGTGTTTGAGCCCCTTGTGGCAGCCCTTGTGTCATTCCGTATTGAGGGTTTCCCTCATTTTCATTGGCCCTCTATTTACTAAACCTGATGTCCTTTGGTAGCAATTGGTCTTTCCTGATGATGTGTCCAAAGTAAGCAAGTTGAAGTCTTCTGAGGAACATTCTCTTAGTATTTCTCTAAGACTGATTTCTTTATTCTTCTGGAAGTCCATAGTGTATTCAGTATTCTTCACCTGTACCACAGTTCAGAAACCTAGTGGATCACACCTCTGTTCTAGTCACCATCATATACAGTTCTACAGCAAGGAGAAAGTATGACAGCCTAGGAAGTCAATCTTTGTCTCTGTCTCTGAGGACAGCCTGCTTATTCTGATATTAACCAGTTGCCATCAAGTTGATTCCTACTCATTGCAGCCCTGTGTATTGCATAGTAGAACTGTGCTTCGTAGGGTTTTCAAGACTATGGCCATTCAGAAGCAGATTTCCAGGCCTTTCTTCCGAAGCACCTCTGGGTGGGTTCTGACCACCAACCTTTCGGTTAGTAGTTGAGCGCTCAACTGTTTGCGCCACCCAGGAATTCTCTATTCGGAACTCCTACTTCCTAATCCCAGTGTTTGTAACTAGGATAAACTCATTTACATTTAAAAAACCAAAAACCAAACCTGTTGCCTTTGAGTCAATTCCAACTCACAGCGACCCTATCGGGCAGAGTAGAACTGCCCTATAAGGTTTCCAAGGAGCGGCTGGTGGATTCGAACTACTGACCTTTTGGTTAGCAGACAAACGCTTAACCACTGGGTCATGATTCTTTATGTTTCTTGTCCAATTGACCCCAATTATAGAAGTCATTGATTAAGCCTGGAAATCTAATGCTTTTTGGAATTAAAGTCAGTGATCAAGTGCCCTCTAGCGTGCATTGGTCTGTTAACTTCAAACACAATTCTTTACTCATGGTTTTGTTACTGATCAGTTAAAGATAAAATGAATAGATTAAGAGTGTACAGATACATTTCTACCTTGCAGCTGGTAAGAGATTTCCCAGCTGTTACACTTCAGGAGACTTTAAGCAGAAAGACATCGATTTCTGAACACTTTCCTTATCTTTTTCATAATATTCATGTGACTGCAAGTGACCTATAGTGGAATTTCTGTGCAGGAAGCATTATAAACATCTTGTGAGCATCAGTAATGCGGTGTTACTTTAAAGACTTCAGCTAGGAAAACTTACTTTCTTTAGCTAATTGTGTAAATGACTGGCTTTCTTAAATGTTTCTGGAATGCTTTAGTTGAACTGCATTTAATCTTAGACTAGAAAATTTGTAAAAAAAAAGAAAAACAAAAAAAAAACTTTATCTTCTCACTCCTAAATATGTAAAATTGAGTATGAAAACAGTAATGCTTAGAGTCTGAGAAGCCCTTTTATACATGTTGTCAAATTGCTTCCCAGAAGTACTACTAATAATACCTATTCTAAAAGGGGTCAGATTCTGTGCTCTGCCCCTTAGAAACATCATCCTCCTCACTTCTCTATGAGATGAGTACTGTATGTCATAGGTGAGGAAACTGAGGCTCAGAAGAGTTTAGCCACTCACCCAAGGTCACACAGCTCCTGACGGATGTAGAATTTATCCATTAAGGAGTCTAAGGGTGCTTGTGTCTCCTGTGCCTTCTCTGACGTAAATATTCTCCTTAAAAACAAAACCAAACAGAAAACACTGCTAACCTGATATTGAATTGCGTCTTGTTTTTATTTACATGCTGAATGTTGAAAAAATAGTGTTTAGTCATTTCTGTGTTTTCTCTGAATTGTCTAGTTACTTGCTTTGTCCATTTTACCTTGGTTTTGTCATTTTTCCTATCAATTTGCATGAACATTGTATATATTGAGTGTAGGACACCTTTCTGATGTTTTCCTGCCTCTGTGTTTTACTTCTGTTGTTTTTTTGATGAATGAAGTTTAAAATCTTTGTCCTCAGATCTGTCAGTATTTTCTTACTTAGTTTTGGTCTTGGCATTTAATCTTAGAAATTCCATCCCTGTTAAATCAATTGAGAAAATTTATGTATGTATTTATAATTTATATATAAATTTAATTTATATATGTGAGTGCTATATAAATTTATTTATAAATGTTTAAATATAATTTATATAATTATAGAGGTTATAAAATATAAAATAAATATATAAATAAAATTCATAAATATTTCAGCATATAATTTATAATATTTAACATAAACATATATAAACAACACATAAATGTATATAAATTAAGTTTATATATATTTTTATATGTAATGTTTTTATTTCATCTAGTTTTATGGTTTTTTAAAGTAATATTTAACTTTTTAATTCATCTAGAATTTTTTTATTTAGGGTATGAGACTGAAGATCTGTGTTTTCTTTTTCTCCAAATATCATATTTCTTAATACATATGTTATTAATTTGTGTCACTGCAGCTGAGAATCAGGCTGTTAAGCACATAATTTTACCCCATAAATTATCTCTTGAGTGTATATAATGTGTTCTATGTAATTTTGGTATCATGAGAAAAAGAAAATTACTTGGTTAACTTTTCCTGGAAATTATTATTTCATTAAAGAAACCACTTAATATTTTCTTCCTACCCTCAGCAATCACTGTTTGAGGTAAACTTAGGTTATATTTCATAAACCTTTTTGTGCATAAAAAATACAAATTTTCATGAACTCAATACCTGCCTACTAAGAATTTAAAGACAGCTGTCCGTACTTATGGAAATACTGAATTATCTTTGAGATTTGTAGAATATAGGAAGTCATTGCTCTCTTATCTTTGTTCGTTTGTTTTCATTGTAAACATCTGCGTTTGGTTGGATGCGAGCTCTTTCGGGTTTGTCAGGTATCACGAGAAAACCAGTGCCATGGAAACCGGCACAACAAGAAGCTCTGGAATGGTAAAGGCACCGCAGTGAGAAAAAATGTGTTTATTAATTAATTAGTTAATACGTGTGCAGTGCTTAAAAATACCAGGCACATAGTAAGCGTTATATAAGTATCGCTGCTGGGGTGGCGGCTTCTTCTACTGCTACTTCTCATTCTTCTTCTTGTTACTCTACTTTTACTTGTATTATTGTTAAAGAGATCCTCCAAGAGTTACTAAAAAAGCTGCTGGTGATTATGCCTATTGGACAACACTGTAGATGTGCCCTAAAGTCACTCCAGAAAAGAAATAGAATGTAGAAATGTTACCAAAGTGGCAAAGAACTTTACAAGCATCTCTGTGCTTGACTCCATGCTGGTTTTCAAAATGAACTCACTGCTCAAAAGCAACACCTAAAAAGCTGTGGAAAATGAGCTGTATTTATATATATATATTACACACAGGTAAATTTAAACAAAATTGAAGCATGGTATCATTTTTACATGATCAGTGTAGAACTGTAGATCAAGAATGAAAGGAGCACATTGTCATAGCTTAAATGCGTAAAAATACAGAAATGTGCAGACTGGCTTTAGTAGAAGTTGGATTCTTTTTTTACCATTGTTATTCAATTAATTTGAAATTTGTATACATACTGCCAACTTGCATACCAAAGAGGTTATGCAGAATTAGGAACATTTCAGGATTTTTTCCTACCACCACCCTCCCCAGCGTATTGCCCTCCAGGCCTGTGGTGAATCCTCAGGTGCTGATGGGTGTCTCTTGGATGTGTTAAGAGCAGAAGACAGCAGAGAAGCACTGACTTACACCTTCTTCCCACCCTTCCCTCCTAAACACTCTAGTCTTCCTTTTTTTTCTCTTGGTCAGTCTAGCTAAAGGTTTGTCGATTTTGTTGAGTTTTCCAAGAACCAGCTTTTGGTTTTATTGATATTCTTTATTGTTTTCTTATCTTTTATTTCATTAATTTCTACTGTAATCTTTATTATTCTTTTCCTTCTGCCTGCTTTAGGTCTAGTTTGTTCTTTTTTCATCCACTGTCTTGAGGTGGAAAGATAGATTGTTGATTTCAGATTTTTATTCTGTTTTAATATATTTACTGCATAAATTTCCCTCTAAACACTGCTTTAGCTACATCCCATAAATTTTGGTATGTTGTTTTCATTCATTCATTTGAAAGAGCATTAGAAAGTATTTCTCAATTTCCCTTTTGAATTCTTCTTTGACCCATTGTTTATTTAGGGGTCTGTTGTTTATGTTCCACATACTTGTGTATTTCTCTAATTTCTTTCTGTTATTGAGTCTAATTTAATTCCATTGTCATTGGAGAACATGCTTTATTGAGGATTCTTTTATGACCTCACATATGGTCTGTTCTGGAGAATATTCCAAGTGGACTTGAGGGGAATGTATATTCTGCACATTGGATGTAGTGTTGTGCGGGTGTCTGTTAGGTCTGTTTGGTTTGGAGTTCTGTGAACATTCATCTTTGATAATGTTACCTCCCTTCTTTCTTTTCAGTCGATGAACTAATCAGCCCTAAAGACATTGATCCAGTCCAGCGCTATGTCCCATTACAGAATCAACGTAACGTGAGCATGAGGTTTTCCAATCAGGTAAAGGGATCTTTTTTCTTAATTTAGACCTAACCAAAGGCTTTAAAGCTTAACTGAATCTGAAGTTTTATTCTGAATGGGTTTTTGTTGCTCCTACTTAAGGGCAAAGCTTCTCGCTCTTGCAGTTAGTTAATATTTACTTGTGGTAAAGGGCTGTTTGTCAAAAGGAAGTAGGAGTCAAAGATGTCCAACACAATGCCTTTCAGGTAAGCATCGTCATCTTCAAAGTGGTTGCGTTTAGGTGCCAGGTATCTTTGAGAATACATAGAGCATGGGGCTGGTGGGGACAGCAGGTGAGATGGTGCTCTTATGAACAGAGCGCGGTCCTGTGAGAGGCCCTGGGCCTCCTGTGTCTCCAGTCCTGTGTCTCCGTGGCAGGACTGAGTGGCTGACAGAGTTGTTCTTAGTACTTGGTGACATGTCAGGGGAGGGAACAGTTTTAAAATCTTTACATTTAGTTGCTATGGGTGCAGACTGTGTTGTGTCAACAAAATACGTGTTTGCAGGATCAGAAAGATTGATGTTGACTTGCGCAAACCCTGAAGTATTGAATGATACCGGTAATGAGGACTGTTAAAATGAAAACGTTGGGGATTGTGGAAACTGCCTGAGGAGAAAGGGAATGAACCTGAGTGTGTGCCTGGGATTCCAAGTAGTTGATGTGCGTTTCATAAGAAGAGCGTCAGCAGTTACAGAAGACATGCTTGAAAAGTTGAAATGCTCCTTTTATCGTTTCTCTTTTTAAAAAAAAAAAGCAGGTACATATACACATGCATATAATACACGCACACACTCGCACACGTATGTGTATATTTATATATATATGTACATACATATACACACACACACGTCTGTATACACATACATATCTCCAAGTCATCAATAAATGTTTGTTTTGCCTGGTCTTCACCAAATCATTTTATTACTCCGAGTGGTTTATAGATGAGAGGCTCTTTGAGATACTTATAAATAAATGTTAGGTTTTTCTCAAGAACATAAAATCCCTATGTTAATATGTGACAAATTTCTCACTAGCCTGCTAGCTCCTCTAAGGTGGGGATTTGGCTTCCATCCCAGTTACCACTTGTGTCAGTATGGTGCAAGGGTATATATTCTGTGTGTAAAAATGGCGGTGCAGTGGTGTCTGACCTCGTCTAACTTCACAAGGGGGAGGAGAGAGAATCCAGATCAACATTGGCCCAAGGCTGATTCCTGTGAAGTAGAGGTCAAACATACCTCCACCCTCCCTTCTTTTGACCAATTCTGACACCAGCCGTCCTTCCCTCGGCACTCTCTCGTTCTGTGCTGGGGTTGATAATTCATTGCAGTGGCCACACAGAACTCGTAGACAGTACTCACGATTATGGGGTTTATTAGGGAAGTAATAGGTTACAACTCAGGATCAGGATCAACGGGCTACAGCTGAAGATCAGGATCAAGAAGCATGTAGGCAAAGTCTCCCTTCTTTGTTTCAGGACAGCTCTCTTAGCTCCTCTCAGCAGTGCAGGGCTCCTCTTGGCCCCCTCAGGACTGGCTCCTCTTGGCCCGCTCAGGACAGGCTCCTCTTGGCCCCTTAAGGACAGGCTCCTCTTGGCCCCCTGAGGACAGGCTCCTCTTGGCCCCCTCCCTACAGGCTCCTCTTGGCCCCCTGAGGACAGGCTCCTCTTGGCCCCCTCAGGACTGGCTCCTCTTGGCCCCCTCAGGACAGGCTCCTCTTGGTCCCTTAAGGACAGGCTCCTCTTGGCCCCCTCAGGACTGGCTCCTCTTGGCCCGCTCA